ACCCAAATAACAATTTTTTTTGTTCCCAAAACTTTAAAAGAAAACTAACATTTAACATACCACTTTTTTCTGTCGAGTTAAAGGGAACAGGTTTAAAGCCTTTCTTGCATACTTGTATAATAAATAGAGATGAAAAATATATGCACCTATTCGTGATAGATTTTGGATTTCCGACTCCAAATTTTCCTCCGTTTTTCCTTTTTTTGGAGATGGTTGATCTTGCTGTTCTCGCTTTTTCTCTTTTTTCTTAAATGGATTAGGGATTTCCGTTATCGCCACGAGGTGAAGAAAGGTCCCCCATCTGAAATAATTTATACAACCATATCTACTTGAGATCTTTTAAAATTACTATATTCATCGATCCAGCAGAATCGCAAATCTAAGCAATGCTTAAAGTATACTTTATGTTATTTTGATCGTTTTAAAGAGATTTTATGTCTCTATAATATCGATTTTTTTAATACTTGAAAAATAATTGATCTGTAAAATGTTTTTACAATTCTTTTAAAAATTGTTATATTTATACCCCCTGCTTGCAAAGTGGGAGGGTATACTGTAATTGGTATGTCCGTCTGTCCGGCTGTCTGTTTTGGGGTACCGATCTCTTATCCGCAACTCCTCTTATACCACTGAGTGAAATTCAATGAAACTTTCACAGAATCTTTAATACATATTGCCATTGTGCACCTCCTTTTATCATTTTTTGATTAGAAACATATTTTGGGTTTCCCGCCCACAGCAAAACATGGACTTTGCCATTGTAACCATATGGGAGGCGAGGGAGGGGGGTCATTTAGTGAGCTCATTCCTCACACTACCTCTAGTTTATATATATTTTCCAAAAGAAATGAGATGACAATAATTTGTCTTAACATAAATTTGATTCTGTACTTTCGTGTAAAACAGGGTTCGGTAATCAGTGTTTAGCTCACCTGAGCTAAAGGCTCAAGTGAGTTTTTCTGGTCATAATTTGTCCCTTGTCTGTTGTCATTGTCTCATTGTAAACTTTTTACATTTTCAACTTCTTTCCAAGAACCTCTAAGCCAATTTCAACCAAACTTCAAGTTTCACAGGAAGAAACAAGACCTTTCAGTTAATATTTAAAAAAAGGCAGCTTTCAGTGACTTTTCAGTGGCCATTCAGTCACTAAATTGCACAAAGTCATACATTTCAGTTGTCTCTCCGTCATATTTCAGATACCTTTAGGATTTACTTTTTTTCTTACTTTATCCCCCCCCCCCCCCTCACTTTCAATTTGCTTCCGACGCCCATGAATTATCTTTAAAGTCTTTACTAAATTGTTTAACTGTGATTATAGATTTAAAAAATATATATATGTCCATATAATTATTATTACTTAAAAAATAAATGTTAATTCAACATTTCTATTTTTCAAATAAGGTTCAGAAAACCAAATGTGCATATATCTGCATGCTTATTTAGTGTATATTCAGTTTGTTCAAATCGTACCCACCCACCCACCCTTTTTTTCGGGGGGGGGGGGGGGTTAGGTCGGGACAACATTTGCATTTAAGCTTTTTAAAACAATACTGATTTTTGTCCTTTTCCTGGCCTGTACTCAGATGAGAGATATGGCCCCTGGACCTCTTGTTTTAAAAATGTTTCAATATTTCTGTAAACAAGTTAATCGTATTTTAAAAGGTTAACGGGTGCAAAAACCTTAACTGCCCGGAAATAGTCGCATGTCTTTACGTACTACAATGTATATGTATAATGCAAAAAAAGTATATTTTAAAAAAATCGAAAGTTATATATAAAAACAGCAACTTTTGTTATATGTAAGTTTCAAATCTGACACTAAAAATTGTTTTACCTGTGCATGACCATACCGCAAAACTGGAGGACAAGGATCAGTGTAAAGAATATTATAAACATTAATCCCAAAACATCAATTTCTATTTTATCTCCATCTTTCTGCAATAAAATCGTGCACGATTGGTATGTTAAATTATTTATACTCTACAGTCTTCTTGGTATAATAGGGCAAATTGATTTTTTAAGTTTGAATTTTGTGCAAAGCAGACATGAAATCTTTAAGCTCGAAGTTTAATGATTTGTAAAAAAAAAAAAGGTTATTCTAAATATACAACTGATTTCAATAAGACAGGTTAATGGCTCAAAATGCCTATTTTTGATGGTTTTCTAAAATAGAACTCTTATAACATTGTAAATTCAAAGCACAAAACCGTGTATAATTAAGAATATATTAATATTTGACAGAATGAAGCCTAATTTATTTATTGTATTGTAGATTCTGTAAAAAAAATGAAAATAACACAAAGATATACTCACAAGTTGAGCTAAGGTAACAACTGATGGCCTTCTCAGTTGAAACATGAAATTAATTGAAATCCAGATTAAGTTTAGAATAGCCATTCCAGCGCAGACGTTGTTTCTTAGTTCTTTTAACTTTTCTTTGTCTTCATTTTCCTTTACTTTATCTCTTTCTGGGTCCCGGGGTTTTAGATATCTTAGAAAATTGCAAAGTTATACATTAACTCTTTACAACTTACTAAATTGTTAAGAAATATACACTTATGCCCTGTTCACACGACGAGTTTAATTCGCAGTAAATTAATGCGAAGTAAACTAATGCGAATCAAAATAATGCGAATTAAATTGCGTTCACACGACAGCTAATGCGGTGTAAACTAATGCGAATTAAAATGCTATTTCTACGGCCAGGCCTCAGTAAGGCTATTATGACGTCATTTGCAAATCACGTCACCTTATGCAGGAACAGATGCATTTCACATAATGTTACAGTGTCTGCACACACATTTTAGTGATTAACACAATTTTCCGTGGTTTTTCACTCAAAAATAGCACAAATACTTCAAGCTGACCACGGGCATGTGTCGTTTGACCTAATTTTTCCATTACGCATGCATCAAAATTTAATTCGAATTAGCTTTGCTTAGCGTTCACACGGAGCTAATGCGAAGTAATTTAATGCGCAGTAAACTAATTCGAATTAAACTAATTCGCATTAAATTCTCCATGTGAACGCTAAACGAAGCTAATTCGCAGTAACTTTACGTTTAATTCGAATTAAACTCTCCGTGTGAACAGGGCATTAATGTACACGTCATAAAAATATGACGTTACCATTTCCCTGCAAGCATTTTATAACGCGGCACAGATTCGCAGTGCATATTGGCATCAAATGAATGTTTTCGAAACATATTAGACTTTGTAATGTTTATTACACAATACTAAAATTAAATGAAAAGAATTTCGTTTCAGTATAGCCAATGGCCATTAAAATTTATTACATGAAAATCATATGAAAATTAAAGAAAAAAGGAAAACAATGCATCTACTAGAAAAATCGTTCATTTTTTGCATGAAACAATTTTTTTTAAAAGTAAAATTTGAAATTTTAACCTTATTCTGACATATTTAGTCCTCACTTTACTGAAAGAGGTATAACTTCACTTTCAATATCTGCCTTAACATTATAAGATGTGTTTACCCTTTTAGTAGAAATCACATTGAAGCTTATATTGTAAACTTTAAGCAACTAAAATTCATGTCCAGTTTCTTTCATCAATTCGATATTGTCGACATCGTAATGTAAACAATGTTAATACAATATCGTGTTTACATCGTCTACATTGTAATTGTTTCTACTTGACGATATCGTCGACATTGCAATGTAAACAATGATGATACGATATCTCGTTTACATCGTCTACATTGTCATTGTTTCTATATGACGACATCGTTGACATCGCAATGTTGACAATATTGATACGATATCGCGTTTACATTGTCTACATTGCTTTTTTCTACATTGTGTATTGACAGCGCAATGTAATTAATGTTTAAACTTTTTCCATGTACTGTACAGATGACAAACACTGTTTCCAAAGTTGGAAATAAGTTTTTTAGTTCAATTTAAAAATGTAAGAGACATGCTTCATACATGTACTTGTTGTACACTTGATATGGACTCATAAGAGTCAAACATTGCCCTGGTGATGATGTGCAAAAAGTAAACAGAATATATTGCCTTATCAATATGACCTCAACTTGATTTTATGATAAGATAAAAAGCAAAAAAGGAAACTTAAAGTTGACATGATGACGACTCGATATAGGCCAACACAGATACTAAGTATACATTGATTGATTGTACATTGTTTAACGTCCCTCTCGAGAATTTTTTCACTCATATGGAGACGTCACCGATTGCCGGTGAAGGGCTTCAAATTTCGACCTATACTCGGCACTCAGGGCCATTGAGCAGTGAAGGTTCTTTATCGTGCCAGCGCCTAACGTGACACGGTCATATCCGAAAGACCAATGACTTTCACTTCTAGTGCCAAGCGCTTGGCGAAGGAACAGTCACTACCTTTGTTTACGTCTTAGGTATGACGCGGCGCCGCGAACGAGAATTGAACCCTGGCCTCCCGATCACGAAGCGAACGCTCTAACACTAGGCTACCGTGACCGGTGATACTAAGTAAATAAACCAAAAAAAATTAAAGTACTAAAAGTACTGAAAAGCGGTAAGCATGCTTGAAATCATCTAATATGTACCGAAAAAAGTGCATAAAATGATGATATTTAAGTATGCATATCTTTGTCCGATGTCATCAGAGAAAAAAAACCCAGACATTCTGTTTTTGTAATACTATACTTAATAGTAAAACCAATAATATTCCAAACTGATGTCACAGATGGATGCAATCTAGCTAATTAAAATTAGATGCTCCGAATCCGCTACTGCTTCTCAAACATCTAACAATATCCTATTTGGGGTCATGTAAGAGTGAATCTTCGATTAGCCAAAAGAAAACGTTTCCTCCGAAATCTTGGCTTATAGTTCAGATGGGTTTCTTGTTTTCACCACCGAACCAAAACACCCGAGGAGTTTTGTAGTAAACAAAATATGCATTGCAAAAGCTGTGTTATGTATGAAGTGTGGGGTATCTTGTATAGTTTGTGCACTTTCGTTTGCATTATTCACGTTCAGATGCCAGACTGCAGACTATACATGAAATTTATTCCAAAATTACTTTAATTCAACGTAAGACAGTATCAATAATGATGATATGTAGCCGTGGAATTAATTTGAGAATTGTTTACCGAGGCTTGAATCTACATGGCCAAAGTGATTGTGTTTACTTGTACATGTATTCATAATCGAAAGGTCGCTATGATGTGACCCCGAATAGGATGTTAGATGTTTCAGAAGCGGTACCGGATTTGGAACATTTAAATAAATTTTAATTAGATTGAAAGGCATGTTTCAAAATTAAAACATGAAATTTCTTCAGTTTGAAAGACAGGAAGTGTATTTTTAAAAGTTCTATCTTGATTACATCCAATTGTTCTCTGGATTAAAACAATTATGTTGATGTTGAAAATTTAATTGTCTTTTATGCTCTATTGAATCTGAAATTAGGTTATTGTAAAGCCTACAATAGCAAACAACTAAAAAAATGACAAGTTAAATTCTTTAGACTAATGGATTTGGAGTAGTGTAGATCTACAGCTGGCTAGTCAGAGAAAAAAGGATGGCTGAGCAGAGACTTTGTAAATGAATAGATATCAGAGAGCTTCAGTTGTGTAGGTTCATCGCGGCTATATAATTAACCTGTCAACGAGGGATGCTTACTTCTTCTAGGCAACGGATCCCACCTCTTGAACTTTCAGGAGTCAGCTTTTCTTCTTAAATCTGTATTTTGATACAGATACTGAATACTTCCGTTTAGTAATATTATAAACTACTACTTCTACGGGAAGACTGGCGAGTAAACAAGATTATCAAGCTTAATGAAATGTACTTTATTGACTTTTCAAACAAGTAAATGTTCGAATAAAGTAAATGGTATATGAGAATCATTTAAAAGAAGTCTTGCACAATGTGTCTAGATAAGGACATATAATGTGTATTTGCCATATACTCTTCATGCAATATTGTTCTCAAATAAAACGTGAAAAGGAAAGTTGTCTAATCAATCAATACTAGTATTTAAAAATTCTAATGTACACTAAGAATCAGTGTAGTGTCACTTTCTTCAATATGTCAATTAAACAATGTACACTGAATTCTTTTCTTTCAATGTGCCTCTAAACACCTGGATTTTAATTTAATTCTTCTCAAACGCTCAAAATAATAATCGACAAATTGGACAAATTCAAATTTAAAAAGTATTTTCACAGCTAATTATACGTTCCCTAGGAATTGATCAAATTTTCAAAACTTATAAATAAGCATTAAGTATATATTTTAAATTTTTGCTAATTGCCAAGATTTTTCAAACCTCATTCTTCTGTGAATAATAATATCGATTGATTTTTAGAAGAGGATCACAATCCTGATTAAAATTAATATATATTTCTCCATTTTTTTTTTTAAATTAATTTTACTACTTTAAGGATACACCAAAGGCTTTTTTCAAGATTTTTGTCAATTTTGAGATTTTTGGCTGAGAAAACAAGGCTAATCACTGCTTTATAATGCATGAAAAATTCTTGCTGATTATTAAATGGTTTTCTAATTATTTAACAATAATCAAACATAAACACTAACACATGTGAATGTGCCGTTATTGAAGCTTCTGATTTGGTCTGTAACTGCTTGCTTCTGAAAGGAGCAATAAATCACTGTGACCACTTGGGGAATTCTTCACTAGCCACACAGAGGTTACATGTATCAGTAATTAAACTACAGGGACTCAAGATTTAGGGAAGGAGATCTAACAGGCCACTAATGACCATGAAATAGGAGGTGGAGCTTAGCTCTCGCCATTTTGCCGGGAAATCTTTCTGATTCAGAATTGAACCTATTTTACTTCATTAAAAGCACCTAAATAAAGAATAGAACCTCACATTCTTGTGAATATGCATAGGAAATATGGATAAGTGACAGGTTTTCAAAGCTGAATCTCCAAGGTGACATAAATTTTTAGCTTTGGCAGAATTTCTTGTGTAATGGGCTTTTGCCCTCTACTGTAAAGTAAGATCAGACAGTTGGCGGTATTATTTCAAAGGATTCAGCTCCCTTATTTATTGACCAAAGTCTCTGAAAACTGGCCAGAATGTGTCTCAAATGTGTGTTCACAAAACCGTATCTCAGATTTTTGATATCTTGCTCAGTTCCTGAATTATTGGGGGAAATGTAGAATTGGGCTAATAAATTGGTAACATTGAAAGACAAATGGATGTAACTTTTGAATAAGAAGATTTATCAAAAATCTGAGATACGGTTTTTAAGTTCAATCTTTAATCTACATTGAGGCAAAATTTTGACTTTGAGAGGCGGAATACAAAAAAGTTGATTTATAAAATATAAATGCACTAATATTTACATTAAAATATTAATAACTTTTTAATAAGATAAAAATGAAACTTTAAAATAAGATAATTAAATAGTAAATTTAACAAGCTTTCAAATGATATATACTTTTAATATGTTATCTTTGTTAATGAAAGAATTACAAGCAAATTAAATTTTGTCCTTTGGAAACCTTTGGTGTATCCTTAAGTGCCCCATTATTTTTATTTCAAAACTAAAAGTAAGTGATCCCTTATGATCGTTTGTAATAAATTATCAAAGACGGAGTAGAGAATTTACCCCTGGGAGCAGAGCTTTTATAATCTGTTTATTAGACAGAGAAGAAAAGAAAAGAAAAAAAAACATTTCATTGTGGAGGTAATCCTATTGTTCCCATAAAAACGTTACAAAAAGTGTAAAACGTACAGATGCATTCCCAGATAGCAAGCTGACGTTGGGCCGATGTTGGCATGTGGTTGGTAGATCGGCTACATATGGCGGTTGGCAGAACGATATTGGGCCAATATCGGTCCGACATTGTCATTACAACAGTCGGGGTATTGACATTGTTCCAACATCGGTCCGATATTGTAATTACAACAGTTGGTGCATTGACATTGTACCACCATCGGTCCGACATTGTAATTACAACAGTTGGTGCTCTGACATTGTTCCAACGTCGGGCCAACATCAGGCACGTAGCATCGTTCTCAAAAGTGGGGGGGGGGCAACCATAGAATTTTTTTTACTTACCTGAAAAAGTTGACAAGCAAAAGGATGGGGGTGGTGGTGGCCAACTTTTTTCAAGGCAAACTTCCTTTCACTTCCAATTTTTTTGCTATTTTTCCTTGATTTCACTATAGGCCCAGCCCCCCCCCCCCCCCCCCGTTGCTACGTGCCTGAACATTGTTATTTTTAATGTTGAAGTATGGACATCTTTGTAATGTTGGGCCGACATTGTTGAACCAATGTTGCTATGTAAACTTATGTTGAAACGTTTAAAAAAATATTTATTTATTTTATTTTTTTATTTCTTTGTTTATTTATTCATTTCTAGTTATTTAACCTTTACGTAGATTTTCAAAACTATGGAATATAACTTAGATTTTTCTCTAAAACTGTCGACTAATAGTACAATTACGTCGGGATCGGAGTCGGGCTCGATAAGCAATTAATTTAAACAACACACCGCGCCGAAATTTAAATTTTTGGTGGGTTACACGCAGCCATGTTGATGTTGTACAGAAGGAAAGTTCGGAAGAGAGTGTCGCGAAAAGGAGAATCATGACTAGCTTTGGATGGAATTTCTGTTTTGACAGAGATGAAGACATTTTACGACCCGGTACTGCGGTAGGTACAATGTACAAAATATTTTAACATTTGTCCTTGAATGAATAATTGCTTTTGATACTGTTCCATAGTCAGGACACTACACATAAAACGCCTTGCAGTGAAATCGTTTTAGCAAGCGCTATTTCAATTTTTTCATAATAATTTAGCACTTCTAAACATCTCTCATAAAGATGGATTTCAACCCGAATTTCCTCGTTTGGGATCGATTCAGGAATTTTAGTGTTCCTCTCTTCAACATTTACAGAGTATGTTGTACAATGTAATAAAATATATTTATTTTTAAATGCATACATTGTTCAAGATCATTTTCAGCACTTATTTTGATTATTTAATAGTTGCATGCAGTGGACTGTGCCTGAGACGATTCCCATAGCGCCGGCGAATAGTCAGCTTGTATAAATGGTGAGAACCAGCTCAAATTTTTATTTAACACAAATAACCTAATATTGTTTTTATTAACTTGTATCTTTTAGCATAGAACTATAAAAATATTGCAGACTTCTATGTACCAAGTAAACAAGAGGTTTATATTCTTAATTTCCTTATCCTAAAAATACATAACAATGGATTCTGACAGGTAATTTAAACATGCTATAAATTAGCACAGCTATGCATATTAATTATTTTATATTAAATACTTATGCATAAATTATTAAGAATAGCTATCATTTTGACATATTCTATGATGCACAATTATACATGCATTATTTACAGGAATCTGAATGCTCACAAGAAGGACAAATGCAGTATGGAAATTAACACAAAGGTATTCTAAGATTTCTTAAATTTTCTGATTAGAGCTATAAAATCACATGAATTGAAATACATGTATCTTATATTTTATTCAATGTAAGTCAGGCATAGGGCTTTAGCTCTATCCCTAACCTTTTTCTTTAGCTCACTTGAGCCATTTTAAGTCCAAAGTTAAACAAAACGAGTTTCCTCATCAGTGTCTAGTTTTCGTCTGTCATCTGTAAACTTCTCAAATTTTTACAGTTATCGAAATTAATCCTAAGAACCAAAAAAAGACACTGTAAGATAGTGAATTTCTATTCTACACTAAATGTATACTGAACTGTCAGGTTGAAGTAACCAATTGTCTTAACAGTCTTGTACTCTTGTAGAGCCTTACTTTATTATTTGTTATATATTTATATGTTTATAATATATAAATGCTATAGATAATCGATGATAATACATCCCGATGGTCATTTTTTCTTTCAGAAATTGTGCCAGAAAAGTAAGTGTCTACGGGAACAATCAACATCGAACTTTCTGAGCCTTCCTACTTAAACTAAAGTGAATTCATTTGTGAATTTCATGGGATATCAGTGAGGAAGTGATTCAAGCAGACACTTGAGAAATTTCGGATCTAACTTATAAATTAGGATCTTTGGCATATTCGGGGAAAATAGTGTGACTGTGTTGATTTTTTGGGATCTTTTTATTAATATAGTTGTAGTGGATATTTTGTCTTAATACATGTGTTTGTCACTCTAGTCTAGTCATTAACTTAGTACGGTAAATGTTCAAGGGCAACTGGAAGTTCATTGCAACTGTATACCACGTTGAGGTTTCAATGACCTCTCCCAATGTTATTAAGTCAAATGTCATATTTAAAAAAAAGAAATAGTTTGTTTTATTACAAAGAAATGTTGATCAGTGAGAATACTTAGAAAAAAATATGCTTACATTGTACATCTATAAGTGTATATGTAATATTTGTTTGAAAACACATTGTGAAAGAAACAATCTTTTTTAATTTTGAAAATATAGATTTGATCTATGATAAATTGAACATTGAACTGAATTGAATTCAGTTTTCATTGTATCTTCCTGGAATTTCTTAGATTTCAATGGAATTCCATAGATTTCTAAATATCCTTGTGCACAGATATGTTGGGCCAACATAAGAATTATCATTGTTTGAAATTGGGCCAACGTAAGGCCTACATGAAGATGCACAAATACGTTGGGCCTACATTGGGCCAACATCAGAATTATCACTGTATAACATTGGGACAACGTAGCGCCAACATGTCAGTGCAATGTTGCAACGATGAGCAAAATTACATTGGCCCAATATACATTTTCCGACGTTGGTCCAATGTCGGAAAATGATATTGGGCCAATGTAATTTTGCTCATCGGCGCAACGTTGCGCCGACATGTTGGCGCAACGGTGGCCCAATGTCATAGAACGATAATTCTGACGTTGGTCCAACGTTGGGCCAACATAACTGACAACAGTAGCCCAACGTTGGACCAACGTCAGAATTATCGTTCTATGACATTGGGCCAACGTTGCGCCAACATGTCGGCGCAACGTTGCGCCGATGAGCAAAATTACATTGGCCCAATATCATTTTCCTACATTGGACCAACGTAACTTACAACGGTGGCCCAACACTGGGCCAACGTAAGCTTGCTATCTGGGTTGGGTGTTTTTATAAAAGCGTTTTTCAGGTATTACTTAACTTAATAAATGGTGTTTCTTAATACTTTGGCAAGGAAAATCAAACTCGATCGAGAGATTTGCTGATGTTTTTGCAGTATGTAATAACCTTCAACCTGCTGTATAATTAACCGTATCGTTCAACTTTCAAAAATAAACTAACAGTTGTTATAAATCGCGATCGCACGATGTACATGTAATAAGGACCTAATTCTCAGTTCTTTGAAGTTAGTGTTCTAAGTATTGTCAATGCTTTGGTAAATAATAATAAGAATTCGATATAATCGTTATAATAGCCACTCTTCATACACAGCATATTGTCAATCTCTCACCAGGGGGCGTATTAAACAGTATATAAATCATAGGAAGCGCTTTGCTGAAGTTACCGTTGTCGATAGTAGCGCCTTGTGGAAGTTTCCGGTTTTGGTTGCAGAAGGATAAGGTTACGTGCGATAAAGCGATGTCGATAGGTAGCGCCTTATGGAAGCTTCCGTTTTTTTTGGAGCCCATGCCATAAAGCGGTTAGCTAGCTAACCGCTTAAAAAGAACGCAATGTTCACACAACATCAACTCATTGTGAACAATGTAAACAAAATTTTGAAAAAGGCAATGTCGACACGATGTCGACTCGACATCGACCAACATTGCGAAGTCGACGATGTGAACGATGTAAACAAGATAATAGAAGGCAATGTTGACACGATGTCGACTCAATATCGACCAACATTCGGATATCGACGATGTGAACGATGTAAACAAGATAAATAAGAAAGGCATTGTTGACACGATGTCGACTCAATATCGAAAGGCAATGTTAACAAGATGTTGACGTTATATTGTTAAACAATGTAATATATAGAGAGATAAACAAAGGTATTTCTGTCATATTGAATATGTTATGATATTAGGAGGACTGATATTTTTACCGCGATGTCGACAATATCGAAAAAACATCGTGCACTGGACATACCTCCTATTGTTGGCAGCTTTTTATGGAATGTTTAAGTAACATGCTAAAAATATGACCAACATATCTGTTCATGCTTAGGTTACTTGATTATTTATCATATTATAAATATGCTACGTATAAAGTATTTTCCCGAATTAAAAAAAATACAAAGGTGATAGCTTTGAACAAATTACTGATATCTTCTTAATCGTTGTAAATTAGTTTTCAATCAACTAAACTAACCGGAAAGTAACGAAAAGGTTACAGGTTGAAAAGAGAAAAAAATATTAATGGTAAATATGGAAATTTTACAAAAATCAGCAGTCAATTCCTAACGGTTTTGGAAAAAAATACGGACAAAATGTTATCCCGTGCATCTGTGAATGATGAAATACATTTACATCTGACTATCTGAAGTTCTTTCAATTCATACATAGATTACGTCCGTTAAAATGGAAGTAATACACTTACGTAGTTATGAGTTCATTCCAGAATTTATCTTCCTCTTTCGTCATTTCAATACACTTGCCCTCTTTAAAAATAACTTTAATAATACTTTCTGCACACCTATTACTCTCTACACTCTGGAATGAAAAATAAAGAAAACTTTGTGGATATTCATCATTGTTTCCTATATATAACCTCCTAAAAAGTTATACAGGACGCATCTTTCAACCTTGAAATATTTTATAGTACTTAAGAAACATTTATACCTGCTGTCTGCTTGTGCCTGAGGTATTTCTTGTTATTTCAGCTCCATCTTGGGTTGTCTGATTTTTTTCTTCTATCATTTTTTCAACTAGTTCTTTTATCTCATCCTCAGACAAAAATGGTTTGGATTCATTCCCTTTTAATTTTCGGAATGGCGAGAGCATCTTAGAAAATATATCTTTCTTTTCTTTTGCTTTTCCTTTTGCGTTACTACTTTCCCTTGTTCCCCAGGACACATCATTTAAATTGCATAATGAATAAATTATCAAAACGAGAAAACCGCATGGCACCAGTACGAAATATAATAATCCAAACAAAAGATTATACCATTCTCTTGGATGAAATAGTGCAGCTATTATAAAAATTGCTATTATTCCACAAAGAAATACCACACTTGGATGGAATGGTGATTCAGTAACAGCCGTGATGATGACACCAACTAAGACAACGATCATGATAATGACGTAGATTCCACTGAGAATCTGTGCCACAAGGAGCTGGATTTTTGACTTACATGTTACGCATATGATAAAATATAGGATCACAGGGGCAAGGGAAGCGATATATGAAATCATCAGATCAACGCCAAAGACTGCAACAAAAGCTCCCGCAATCATCATGATAATCGTAGCTGGTCCTATAATGGTGGCAACCAACAAGGATGCTAAAAAGTAGAATATGTTCTTGGGATATATCACTTTCCTGGATCAAATTAGCAGCACTATAGAGGAATGTTCTTGATTGATTGTTTTCCCCTTTTTACAAACACAGAAATTATTTCTTTCATTTTCTTTATCCGTCACATTCTTTTAAATACTTTAGTCTCTAATGATTATACAAACCTTGATAAACAATGTAAAGCCAACTTATGTTTGCGTTCTCTTGAACTGTATTTCTACAATCCTGAAGAAGAGACATAATGTTGGCAAGAGTTGAAGGACCCCATCTTTTTCGTTGCTTGAAATATTCATCAAATCCCTCTGGGGCGTGTGTAAAGGCGTCTGCTCCCGCTGCATAATCAACTCTGAAGCCTTGTTGTAGAAGTAATGTGCACAGCCATCGGTCCTCACCTAGCATTGAAAACACAGACGATATCAGTTATAATCATATTCAGAAACAGAAGAGAATCAGAAAGAAAGAACGTGATCAAATAAAAGCATCTAGAGGCATCTACTTCCCCTTGTCCTGATCTTGACCTTTGTCTGCGACAAAAAAAATGAGTTCTCATATTGTTCCTAGACACTAATGTGACTGACTATGGTTTTCATAAGTATTTTGTCGTACATTTGCCCTTTTTATTATAATCTCTCCACAAATAGTACTTATTATAGATATGGTCTTCGTGTATTTGCAATTTCCTTATTCTTATCGTTAACAATATTTAAATATTATTTTGAGTGCAACCCTAACAGAAACCAAAATGGATTTGCAATGAAATAAATCCAGTAATATTTTATTTAGGAACGGATAGGCCGCAGACAAAAAAAAGGCGAAAATCTTACCCTGGTCATACATAAGATGGTGTGATGCTTCCGTTGGTAATTGTGTGTATTTATTCATCACGTTTTCAGCCATCAAGGCCGAACCTCTGAAAAGACTGAAGCATCCAGGGGAACACAACACGCATCCTAACACGTGTTCTGTAGCCTTCTGAAGCCAATGAGCAACAGCATACTCAAACTTTTGGTACCAAACAATCGGACCTGTAATTGATATATGTAGATGATTATCATTGTATCTTTTGCATGTGCAGTATTCTAACATTTGTATTGGATAAATTATGATCGATATATTGCATTTTCAAAAAAAGAATCACAATGAAGTAGTGTGGGCTACAAGCATTAGCACAAAAACACTTTTGCCACGGCGCTAAGATAAGTACAGATGTCATTACGTTTTTCATCGGTGCCCTGTTAAAAGAAAAGACCAATCTTACTTTTTCTGACAACTGTTAATCTCATGTATATCATACTTTGTATATTAAATGGCTAATAATGTCCTAAGTATTCTTTGTTTGTTACAAACTTTAGAGGAAAATATATATTATATCAATCCATTGTAGTGGTACAAAATTCAAACCGTGGACCACGATTTGACCGAAAATAAATCTGCACTGCCCATATGTAACATTGCAAGCATGGACACCATTTAATATAATCATTTGGTTTCTTGGGAATAGTTTCTTTCTAAAAAAAACTCAATGAATATTTTTTTTCATCTTTTTCGATCCTAACTTATCACCAGGGGTCATGCTTTAAACAAACGTGAATCACCACTACATTGGGATATCTGCCTATCAGTATGACTATTTGCTACTCTACTTGCACGAGAATAAAAAACACATTTCATAGTTCGGCATAGCTTTGCATTTAAATCAGAAAAGCGAAATGGATAACTTGGCTCAAGTCAGCTTATACAACTCATTTAAAGCAAATCCAATTGTAAGGTTAGAGACAATGCATTTTGATTAAATATTTTCAGTCATTAGCTGGAAAAAAATACAAGAAATGAACATTTGAGTACCCTACATTATTTCTATTAACAAAAGTAGAATACCACTGCCAATCGGGTGAATACGGCCACATGTAGCTCCAACTCCATCGTCTTTTCTCATTCTGTCGACAAGAATTCTCAACGAACCTGGAGAAAAATCTACGTCACCGTCTAAGGCAAGTAGAAATGTGTTGTTTGCCTGCAGTTGAATTGAAATTGATTAATTGAAAATATGTCTACCTCGTAATTGTATAATTAAGTATTAGCACTGATATTGCAGAATTATTCTAAGACTGCTCAAACCACTTCATTTTTACAATGATTAAAAAAGAAAATCTTAATTGAAAAAAAAAATAAAGATTAAACCCTTGGTGTCATGAGTTGATTAAATGTCTTTGCTTGTTTCCATCCTCTTTGATTCATTTCCGCATACACTTCCATACTTAGGCGATATCCAAGCAAATAATACATGTACATCACCTGATTTGAAGACACAAGTTAGAACGTAAGCATTTTTGTAAACAATTTAGGCAAAACTGTATACAGTCATATTAAAAAGCGGACAGGTAAGTTTAAAACAATGTCCCTGTTACATGTAGTTTAAGATATTGTATCAAAGAAATTCACGTTTCCGAATCATAAAAATGGTATAAATGCAGCACATACATCCATCGCTCTAAGGTTTTTCATGTAATATACTGTAAATCACTTTTTATTCGCGAGAACTCTATTTTCGCGTAATTTCGCAAGACAATGAGCTCGCGAAAATTTAATTCTCGCGTATAATAGCATTCCTTAAGATTATATAGAGCTATAACCACAATTCGTGAAAAATTTGTCTCGCTAATCAAGAATCAGTGACTATCTCGCGAAAATAAGGTGTCGCGAAAATTTAGTGATATACAGTATTCATTTTACCTGTGACCATCTTTTCTTCTTTCGTATTTTTGTTTCATCTTTCAGATGGATGAACATAAGATTTCCACAAGGCATTCGATAAATGACTTGAGCTCCATATACTGTACAAATAATTATGGGTTCTTCCAGTTTTTTAGCCTTTCCATGGACGGAACTACACAAAATAAAATTAGAAATTAAATTCAATTTTCAGACGGAATTTCTTGTACATGTAAGTATAGTAAAACTATAGAGATGATACAACATAACAAATAAATACCGAATTTTGCTTCTGTCTAACCAAGGTTTAATCTGACCAAAAACAAAAAAACAAAAAAAAAAAAACAACAACAACAAAAACAAAACCAAAAAACAAAAAACAAAAAACAAAACTAAACAAAAAAAAAAAAAAAAAAAAAAAACAACAACAACAAAACTATAGTCAAAATTTTCTGTGTGGGTAGCAATTCTCATATTTTTGTTCCTTCGCTACACTTCCAATCTTTCAAGCCCATATTTGAACTAACTTGAATTTACAGTGAATAAACAATTTTGACTTTTTTTTAACGGTTTAAAAAATATTCAAGTAAGACATTAGGAAAATATTTGATTTATGATAATTTTTTACTCGAAGAGACAACGTGCACAATAACACAAGCAAAATCCTTTAATTTCGATAATAAAACGCCAAACATGTTTTATCTTTTGATTATAACAACTTCTAAAGTAAAATGATAAATACCTTGCTGTTTCATTCAGAGCAGATTCATAACTTTTTACAAATTCATTCAGATTATTCTTTTGGAAAACGTCATCAAAAAGGATATGTGCTAAAAAAAAAAGATCAAAGCTTTCTTTTTACAAACTTTATGTAAATTCAGAAATTATTTAAACAAATTATATTTATTCTATTCAAAACATTACCAACAAATGTTTTTGCTAAATACAAATTCCGTAAATACTAGTATATTTGCTTTCTATCAAATACAAAACCTTCGAACTCGTAATAATCTTCATTATCGTCATTTCTCTCAGACTGGTCCTTGTCAATTCTGCAAAGGATACAACACGAATTGAACATCATATCTAAATATGGAGTCCTAAATTAACGGATTGGGGGACTAACAATGTAAGTCAGAATAGAGGTTTCATTGTACATGTATGCGTTTCATTTCGTAAGATTATCTTGTTTGTCTCGTGTACTGACTTATGATGGAGAGAGCACAAAATATTGAAATGAAATTTTGATTTGCTAAGAGCTAAATATTTGATTGTACTTTTATGCGTGATCATTCATTGCTTTTATCCTATTACCGTTTCACCTTAGCAAGTCGCTCTTTCGATGGGAAGCTTATTTATCAGTACTATAAAACCACCTTGCTTTAATGATACTTTTCTGGTTTTTTTCTTAATATTTTGCATGAGGTAAACCAGAAAACAAAATGAATTGCCAAATCACAACAACCCGAATCAGGTTTAAAAAAACCCAGTAATATTACATTTAATAAGAATGTTTTCTTACCTGTACAAAGATTTTAGTAATTGCTTCATTTCATTAAGTGTTTCGTGCCACAAAGTAGCGCACGCAAAGACACGTGGGTAGATCTTTTTTTCCCCATTGCTAGAACAGAATAAGAAAACAATGGATAATCTTATATATATTTCCATCCAATGAAATGCATTTAAATTGTTAGGTTTTGGGATATATAAAAAGACTCTATAATTCATCCTTAAATAAGTTTCTTCTTAAAATTTAGCTTACAGTACGCAAAAAAAGAAATGTATTGATGGCTTTACCTCTCTGCTTCCCGTTCATTACCATCCTCATCATTGTTTTCGTTGCTTTTAGTATTACAATCCTCCTCGTCATTTGGTTTTGTCTTTTCCGTCTTAGATATTTCTTCAAATCGTCGCCTTCTATTCATTACCAAATGTTGCTCTATTAGAATTCCACAATACAAGGGATTCACAAACAGACTAGCAAAATAGAAATACATATCAGCAAATTATATAAATGAAAGTTAATGTATTGGGGGTCTATAGTGAAAAGTTTGTGGCAATATCTGTGCATAACCATTCATGTTAAAACATTCTTACCGTTTCATCTTAGCTAGTCGCTCTTGTGAGGGAAACCAAATGTGCTGGCTGACCCAATACAAAGATATAAGCCAGGCTGTGATAACTGCAATATGAAGCCAGTTGTCTTCCAATCCATGATTATGGTCGCAGGCAATATCTAAATTAATAGAGGATATCACCGAGAGAAAACTGTCGCTGTCATTACAATGATACACCATAAGTGTAACAAAAATGGGAGTGGAAATTAAACAAGGAATCGAAAAGGAAAATATTTGCATCTTGAGTTTACAGGCTGTGTACGCTGCATAATATCCAAGAAATGCAGATACTATGAGAACAATTATGTCAGAGAAAAGTTCAACGTCATTGTATTTTGCTACTGCTGACCAAAATTCTGGATTAAGGAGTCCCAAGCGCTCTCCAACCAAAAGGCGTGCCGATAAAGTTGTCATTGCTATCTTTGTTATCGAAACAATAATTCCAAAATACGGTCTGCTTCCATGCAATTCGCCTTTGATTTTATTTATTCCTCCTTGAAGAATTTTTGAAATGCATCCATTGTCAGCGACAAAATTTTCCCACCAGGACAAAGACGTGAAAACGAAAACTGCGAAAATTGTAATATACATAAAAGAATGGTAAGAAAGTCCTTCGAATATCCCTGGTATACCTTCTTTGTCTTTAGTCATTTCAATTTGATCTTTTTCAGGCAAGAAGTCAGTTTTTGGTATCAGCAAAATCGGAATTACTGAAATCTGAATTATCATTGCAAATACATCAAAAATGATAATTGCTATTTTTCCACATGTTGTGACCGGCCTTTGTTCCCGTACCGTAAATGGTTTCAAAACGCTGGGAATGATAGCAATGGCATTTAGTACACATATCCTTTGAACGGCTCCAAGTTCCGGCATGAGTTCAAATACCAGTATAGAAAGTCCAATTGAGTGAAATGCTTCAATTATAACGCACTACAATGACACACATTTAACTGCTAAAACATTTTTTCTTATACATATAACCGTATATTTTTCCCTAAATATATACTTAAATAAAAATGGTAAAACTTTTTTTCCAGTATATATATTTTTTTTAATGAAAATGGTAAAAATATATTTTCTAAGTAAATATTGTAAATTAAAAAAGTTTAATTCAATATATATTATATATTATATATATATACAGTTTATTAAATCACATTTACCATAAAAACACTGGCAAAACTAGGTCGTTCCATATTTCCAAACAATACTTTCCAACAACTTGCAAGGAAGTTCAGAACATATGGAGTGCATATCACAAATACTAACAGAAGACTATGTACCCCGGATGTCGATATCTGCAATGAAATTTATTATTAATATTAATAATAAAACCCTGACATGAAAAATAGGAAAAAGTAGAAATAAATAATAATATAAATAATTTTAAAGGCTTTTCATTTGGGATAAATATATTCAAGGTTTGAAATAACAATTTTTTTACCTCTTCGTTAACAGTTGTATTTCCAGTGGAGTTTTGAACCATTTCTGTACTAGATTTCAGTTTTGAGGTTGCAATCACAAGTGTGATTTTTTGAATAACCAATGATGTCAGCAAAATTGCGAATAAACAAAAATACACCAGAACTTTGATGATTCGAAAACTTGTATGCGAATGAACATCATTCTGTTTTTTTTCCCTGTCAAGTACTTGGAACCGATCCCAAAACCTGTAAGGTGGGAAAACCAATGTAAAAGTGCACAAAGTTAATTACCTTTACAGATATTTTCTATAATCTAGCTGATTTTGATTTTCTCTATGAAATCTTTGGAAATGTTTTGTTATGGTGTAATATACAAAAATGATGGACTTTTTTAAAGATAACTATATTTTAACATTTACATCAATTACACAATTATCAAATGTTTTAACATGATTTTCAGAAAATTCAGCCCTTGAACAAATTGTACATGAAAAAAGAAAGCCAAAGTTTTAGTGATGTAAAAATGAGCAAGTTAGTACAAGTGACACGCACATTAAATGGATAATTGATGGACTGATATTATTTACATGTTTTGCTACTATTTTTTGGTCTATTTTCAAATACCCTTTATAGTATTATAAAAGCTAACAAGATGCAAAAATATGCATATGCCCATATCTAATGTTAATTGCATATTTCATTTGTATCTTACTTTGTTTTCAGCCTGAAGTTAGTGTTTGGTATAGATGATTCCTGAAGAGAGAATAAAAATTTGCTAACTCTTTTTATCCTTAATAATGAAAGTTATTCAATATGTTTTTTCTTGCTGATAAAGAATGGGAATGAACATTGTAAAAAAATACATTTGCAAGTAGCAAAGCAATGTAAAAAATGGAAGTTATTTGATAAAAAATTAAAACCAAGCTCGGTTATAGTCGTTTTCCCCAAGAAGCAAATAAAGTCGTATCCAATATGCACATATACCGTTTCGTTGTTTTCCTTGTCGTTTGACTGGCATTGTTTAACATTTGTTTGATCATTGACTTCATTTTCCAGATCCTTGTAAAATATAATCATTTGCAAACATAAGTATCAAGTATCAATGCATGTGTGTAATATCCGGTAATATTTTTAATAATGGTATTTTTTAAGGCAAATAAAAAATGCATATTTGAATATATATATTTGTGTGTATGCTAAGCATTTATTTGATTTTATTGCTATGTTTTCACTTCTAAGTATAAATTGTAATGCAATATACAAAATAGTAACCTTCAAACAAATTATTGATTGCATGAAAGTTTACCTAACATCAAGAGTACTTTATACTTATATACAGACAACACCATTTTCCAGTGAAGGGTATCAAATTTTCCCTTCCATCGGCACTCTTTATCTTGCAAACGCCTGACATGTCGAAGGGCCTCCATCTACATGTACATATATGTTCTTTTTGTAACCAGGAGGGTTGGTCTATTATCCTTCCCCGCACCCCTTTTAACTTAAAATCTGACAACTTGTTTCTCAACTATATCTTTCGTACTTCGTTGTATTATAGATAAAAAATATGCAAATTTGTTATTTTCTTGTGATTTCTATACTGTTTTTAATATTATAGCACATCAAAAATTATTATATTGGCCATTTTGATGATTACGCATACGGGATTTATAAGAAATATCACCCCGTGGTTTTCTGTCCAAATGCGTGATAAAGTACTCTATTATTTATGAGTTAATTTGTTTACGAGTCTATATTTTAAGGACAAATTCTTTGGAAAACATTTATTTTTGATGTACAATTTACTTGTCGTTTGACCTTAAACGTTACCACGGATAGTGATTTTTCCGCTCGCTTGACACCAGAAATGAAAATCACGAGACTTTTTTAAATGAGGCCTTTAAAACCTAGGTCAATGGGATGGGAATCCTTGAACTGAAAATTATAAAGAACCCTTACAGCTCAGTGGTCCGTGTTCCGATAATAGATTCAGAACCTTCGCCAGTATATGATGACGTCTCTTTTTCACATAAGAACTCAAAGGCGAAAATAAAACTATAAAATGCATTTTTTTTCTTTATGAAAGAAATTAAAATGCAATACCTGCATACTTTATTAAACAGTATTATAAATTTTATTTACATGTAGTGAATAACTCTTATTTCACATAACAGTAAGAAAGAAGAATGATATACAAAAAGTACACGTACACTCCCTGTTGATTGTCCTCCTGTTCTCAATCTTCTAAATTGATCTTCTTCTGTTTTCACCTCTTCTTTCGGCCTCTTCTTCTTCTTCAGTTCCTTCTCGTTGTATATTTCTATACCCTCGTTCATGAAAACCTGGCATTAAAACACTTTGCAATTTATTTATTGGGTGTGTATTTAACGTGTGAACAAAGGTTGTTTAAAATCTTAATGTTAATACCTTGGTTTGTCCAGTTTGAAAGCAAGCTTCTCTTTGAGACTCTGCATGCAGTTCCGGGGGGATGATTTGGTACCTAAAGCATATAATGAATACCTGACTTGAATTATCAAAACTAAACAAACATGAAATATATAAAACCTTTCTTTTGCTAGCTACAACAAATTCATATTTTCAATTTTGTATGTAATCAACATTGCAAACATGTGTCGCAATGAGTTTCGCTGCTGTAAATGTTTTCTTAGCTACAAAGTCAATAATATTACGAACCTTTTTTTGAAATTCTTCTTTGGAATCCGAACAGATAGTTCGTGATTTCTAAATTTCGCTAACTGCAAGATTCCATTATATCTCAATTGTTTACCAACAACATCTTTGTCAAACAAACTGGTGCTCTGTTCCTCCCTCGGTTTTATACACCTTTAATTTTAAAGTAATCATGTAAGCTGTTTGTTTTCAACAATAGCGTAAAATGTTTTAAAGTATTACAATATACATGTTTTTTATAATCTTCATAAACATTTGTTGTTCGTGAACTATTGTTCTCTACCTGACAAAATGAGGAGTTGAACTTTCCAATTCTTTTAACAGCTCATTCACTGAATCCTTTAAAACAACGTGAGGATTGTATGAATTATTTTGCATCTTGATTTCTTAAATATACATTCTTATTGTACATGTAACATACATGCATTCTAAAAATTCTAATTCACTTCAGTACTACATAATCTTTTCGATTGTCAGATTTCCAATTATTCAAAAAAATATTGAACACAAACGCTTACTTATTCCTAACCTGCGATTTCGGATTTTCTCAAATTTTTTTACGATTCTTTTTTTATATGGATATTTTTGATATTGTATATGCCTATTGTTTATTTGATTGGAAAAGGGTTCCAAGGAAAAAAAAATAATTGAATTCTAAAAACATGCATGATGTATAATGATTCACTATGAATTACTAAAATGTATGTGTATTATACCCTATAAAAACATTAAATGAAGAATTTTCTCTCAGAATTTTTTCGTACCCTGTAAGAGATTAGGTCAGTCTTTGGTTTTCTTCTTTGGCCAGTATTATTCCTACAATATGATTGATTAAGTGATAAAGATTTTAAAATACATACTCGTATAAATGTGAAGGTTTATATCTTCGTTCTTTTTGCCATATATCGTTCTTTTGAAAATATTTTCCAACATAACGTATGGTTTTACATTTATATCATGTAGAAGTATTAATTTACCCTATGACTTTTTAATATTAGGGTACAACAACACTTTTTAAAGCTGTTTATTATTCATTTTTCATTAGACTGATTAATTGATTTAATGTTGTTTAACGCCCTCTTGAGAATGTTTCACTCGTGTGGAGACGTCACCGTATGTCGATGAAGGGCTTAAAATTTAGACCTATACTCGGCACTCAGGGCCATTGAACAGTGAAGGTTCTTAAACGTGCCAACCCCTACTGCGATACGAGACCTACGTTTTTAAGGTCATATCCGAGAGACCCTTGAGTTATACTTCTAACACCGGGCGTTTAGCGACGGAACGTTCACTGCCTATGTTTAAGTAATAGGCTAGACGCTAGGCCGCAAACGAGAATCGAACCCGGACCTCCAGATTAAGAAGCGAACGCTCCACCACTGGGCTATTTTTTATTAGATAATTACTATTTAAAATCGGACTACTCCATTAAATTATAATTATACAGCATAAAAGCTGTTGAAAAAATGTACCGCTTTCAGTTTAAATTTAACACATACAGAAACTGAGGAAAAGAGTTATACCTTGAGAAAGTTCCAGAAAAGTCTGCTGAAAACAAGAAATTTATGTGCTGGTGTTTGCTATTCTTCACGACGTCTCCCAAATAATCTGTAAGCTTGTCTCGATTCTTATCAAGAATATTTTCACAATTGTACCAAATCTAATAGCAGATATACAGAAAATAGCATTATATGGATATAATTATAATATGAAAGTATCATTAATATAATATTTTAATAATATAGACCCCTTACAAAAAGATAACAGTAAATTACTATGATACAATAGTCTGCTTATTGTATAGGAAATATGGGTGAAAGCTTTAATAATAATGCTGCCCAAAAGAAAGAGTACAAGGCTGGTATCAAAATAATAGCAATTGAATTTTGTTTTCAATATGCCTTTATTAAATCTTTACCTCCCCTGCGCAATGTTTGATGCAAAACTCCGATGAACGACCTTTGCTGAACTCTATGATTTGGGGAGTGTAATCTCTGAGGTTCCATTCCAATCTAGTCACTAAATGCACGTCTCGACCATAGGGTGGTGAAGATTCTGTACTTAGTATTTGCCAAATACCTATCATCTGTTTTATAGCATTTAAAAATACAACAAAGTTAGGAGACCTAAATCGTGTTGAAAACGTTTAGAAATGTTTTAATTATTTATTTTATCATGATTTGCATCATGACAATATGTGTCTTGATTATAGGAAAAATTAAATAAAAGATAGATGAGCTTACAATACCTTATTTTCAAAAACGTCAACGACAGTATCATTTTCCAGTTTAATGTCCCAAAGGTGTGGATCCATATCTTCGTCTCCGTGAATGTCCTTTTCATGCTCAATGACTTGATCAAAAATGTATCCCTGCAGTTTGTCGTTAAGCAAGTTAATACACATCTGCTCAAATCTATTTATTCCTAAGTTCTCAAACCCCGGTATGTCCAGAATTCCTATTGTAGTGACATCTTCTCTTCTTGAAAAATAAAGTCAGATTACTGTTTATCTTGTTATTTAAAAAAAATGTTAATGATCGTAAATCATTCAATTATTATTATTTTTTATGTTTCTGTCATGTTCTAAATTTTGAATTTAAAGGGTGGGAGTAAATACAAAATT